TATGTTGGGGTTTTATAGGGATAATCGAAAGAAAATGCAAACTATAGGGGCGGAATTACATTCAATGCTGTAGCAACGGGCCTTGTTTCTGTTGATAAGACTGGGCGAGAAGTACAGCACTACGACAGCCTCACGCTGAGCAACACCATACTCAGGCAGGAACTGCTAAGCTTCACTCACATGTGATTGCCTGCTTGTTGCTTGCTTGCTTGATTGAATGATTCCTCTTCCATGGCCAGAGTTATCGTTTTTACCGTATGAGACTCATGTCCTGAGCGTACGTGAAACTGACACCAACGTCATGCTGCAGCTGGAAAAGCACTTGTGACCCAGCGTTAAATATGTATCAGAAGACCTTCCATGAGGCTATAGTTTTTCTGCGCGCTTGCAACTATAAGCTCCAAATCCGGGTACTTGGTAATTGCCAGGTCACCCACTGCGCTATAGCTGCTACAGCATTCTTGATGTCTCCTGTTATAGGGAGTCTGTCCGCTTGACGGTCAGCTCCTCCCAGAATTTTACTGTCTTGGTGCTTCTGAGCAACTGAGCACGTCTACGTCGTAAGATGAATGTTGACATGCGGGCTTGTATGGCTCTAGGCTGGTCATGTGTGCTCTAGGGTGCCCGCAGTAGCTTAGCTCCGACGTTCACTCTCACTTTCCTATGGGTTATATTTTATGCCGGTCTCAGGCACCTGCCTCACAAGACCACCAAGGAGTTTGGATCATCATAATGAGATCACGGTCGCTTTTGATACCTTCGATGGCTTCACGGCTTCAATGGCAGTCTTATTGACGGGTGCTTGCTTGGCATCCTCTTCCTGCTTGGCATCTTCCACGTCTGCCCTCTCAGCAATGGGTGCCGACCGAGAAGAGGAATAGCCAGAGGGCCGTAATCTCCTCTTTGGTCTGCCGACTGCCTCACCATCCAGGTCACGGGCATAGGCCGAGCGTCCTGAAAAGTTTTTGTACATGGCAAGCTTACTGGCATCAAAGCTAATTGACGATGTTGAGATCTCGCTGAGTCTTCTAACCATCAGCTCGCCCATCTCTTCGGAGTTTGTGGATGCAACCGCTCGGGAATTGGTGCCTACGGCTGGGAAGCTCAGCAGGGGACTCGTGTTCGAGCTCCTCAATGAGGAGGTTGAAACATCCATCCTTGCAGAAAGGAGCTATCCGGCTTCCATCGGACCCATAGCAATGTCACCTTCCCCAACTTATAAGAGGCGACCTATTGAGCCAAGAACCACGCCATTCGATATCAAAAGCAGTCTCACGCTGCCCTGCCGGCCTACCCCTCCTCGGACCCGCATCATTCCCACCAATATAGGTTAATATTGGGATAATGGAAAAGAAAATGGAAACTACTACATTATAATAGGGTATACATTGGGGTGTTCTGCAACGTGATTGGACGGCAGATGATGGTGAGCTACAGCCTGAAACGTAGCATAGAGGGCACGAGTTGAAAGATTGCTCAAGCAAGAAACTCATGCCTGTCTCTCCCTGTCCTACGGTGCACCAAACAAAGGTTGATGGATCTTTCCTAGCCGCGCATGTTTCTGCCTTTCTCCCCCCCACATTATTCGTGCGATCCTTCTTGTTATAGATAAGGAATACCCCAATGTATACCCTATTATCATGTAGTAGTTTCTATGTTCTATTCCATTATCCCAATATTACCCCAATATACTAGATAAGAGGGCTCCCGACGGCACCAACTTAAGTATCCGAGATCAAATTATCCAAGGTAAATCTGAATCCAGGAGGACCCACCATACTGATGTCCCTATGTAAACCTACCGAAGGATCCCCAGAAATTACATCACAAGGCTACAGGCCCATACCAGGGGTGCACACCTCCAACCCAAAAGCTGCATGCATTACTTCAGGGACTTGCAGTTGTCCTTGATTTGGCGCTTCCCTAAACCTGGGGTACCTTTCTGGGGTCCCCATAGTAGGGGTTACAGTATTTTGGGGTCTATATTGGGGTTCCCAATTTTGGGAACCTACCATTTACTAGGACCGTTGTATCAACAACCGCGAAACTCACTAGAGACTCTCCAAATGTGCGTGGGCAACTCGCTTCTGTTTTGCCATGCACTGGATCGAAGGCCAAGAACACGAGCCCTTGATTTTGGGTTAGTATATACCATAACCAGTAAATTTCCGACAGCCTCTCAACCTATCCATACCTTCACAACACCTTGTATCTACTTCATGCCCTACAGTACCCCGTCCGTGCCTCATGTCCTCAATGTGTCTAGAAAATGCCTGAGAGACTGTCTTCATGCCTAGTATATGCCAAAACTCTGTAAACCCCATACCCTTGACCTCTTACGTGCCACAGGACCTGAACAGGCTAGGGCCCATGCTAAGGGTCATGCTTCCAGCCTCAGAATCGACGCTTCACACTGGACATGCGCATTTAGCAAGCACATGTTTCTTATACCCTGTTAATGTTGGAGTCGAATGCTCATAGCAAGGGCATAATCTTCAAGAAGACTGCCCTAAGACCTTAACCCCGAAGCCCTTCTCCAGTCTGTATGCAGGCACCAGCAGCTTCGCTGCTGGCAGCCTCGACCTGAACCAGCCTGCAAAGGAGCAACTCCTCCTATTGGCATCTTGGCGGACATGGAACCTAGCAACTACCAACCACACAAACCCACAGATACGAGAAGCACAAACTACTCGGCGAGGACTAGCAGCTGCTGTGGTGCGGGTGGTGGTGGCATCATTGCCGTCTTTGGGAATACAAAAACAAAAATAGTCACACAGGGCAAGGGTTGCAGAGATCACACGGACACTGCAGTGTCCCTATAAAAAATGAGGCAAGTCCAAAAAGACTAGTGCCTATGACATGGCGTGAAGCAAGGATCTCCAAGCCACGTGCTGTAGGTGTTAAAGCACACACACATTACCTACAAACAGCACTGCCTCTGTGCCCAGCTGATAGAGTCACTCCTTCAGACTGAGTTCGGGCTACTCTGATGGACATTGGCACTGCTAAAGGCTCTGGTGCAGTCTAAATTGAAGGAGCTGCAAACAAAACGCACTTGAAACGACAAGACCATGCTACAATTTGCGTGGCCGCTACCTTCTGCAGGCCACGTCAAGCATATCTTCTGACCAGGCCTAGCGAAGAGTGAAACTCCTACGTACTCCGGCATCGGTTCAGGGCTGAACCGGATCTCATCCCATCTCTGATCTTTGTAGGCTTTACGGTAGATTTTTTTGGGGGGGTAGAGGGTTTGGGGTTTAGGGTAGTGTAGGGCTTATGTTATTCAACAGTCCTGGCCAGCACCCACTGTACGCAGATGCATCAGATGTGGCCGAAGATGGAAGTTGCTTGCGATGCTTCATCCCAGGGTTAAGGGTTTAGGGTGCCCTAAACCCTACACACTTAGGAATTAAAGTCAGAGTTATATTAGGGTTATATTTTGGTCATATTGGGGTTATATTGGTGTTATAATGGGTTTTTCCTAGAATTTTTGTAGAAAGGTATGCAGCTCTCCTGCAACTCCTTGGCCATTTCAAGTGCGGTCCATGGCGATCTTCACCAGGAACTTCTTCTGATGCCTGCGAAATGGGTAGTTCCCGAAATTAGGGTCCCATTTTGGTACTTCTATTCTAAACATTAGGTGCCGTAATATAATCTATAACCCAAAGGGATCTATAATTTTGAGAACAGCCCAAATAGTAGTAGCTTCCAACTTCTTTTCCATCATCGCTATGCTATCCGTTAGAACCCATTATAGTAGTCCCTATATAACCCATAATATTGGTTTCCATTTTCTTTTCCATAATCTCTATATAACCCTTATAGTAGTCCCTATATAACCCCTGTGTAACCCCTCAACGCCCAAGAGCTGGGAGCCCAGGACCCTCAACCCTCAACCCTCAACCCCCTAAGCCCTGAACCCTTAACCCCTGGGAGCCAATGTTTTCAAGGTTTGGTCCTGAAACAGGTTCCTCGTGACAAGTTGCATTGTGAATAATTGGGAACCCTTTGCTGTCCCAGCATTGGTAATAGTACTAGTAAAATACTATTAGCACTAATAATCGTATTACTAGTATTCTTATATTACTATTACTATTACTGTTGTTATCCAATCTGTTCAAGAATCCTTTGCCTTTGCCCCCTGCACAACAAATCTCAGCAGCGTTGTTGAATAGCATACTAGAATCACCATGTCACCATGTGAGCCATAATCTAAACTCCTTAAAGGGGGTTATGTAGGGGATTATATATGGGACTACTATAGGGGCTATTAAGGGGGATACTAGGAGTTTAGACTATAGCGCATGTGCTGAGCGGGAGGGG